GCCCCCAGTTTCCCTCTCGGCCCCCTCCTGTTTCTGCGGACCCTGCCCTTGACTCTCAGGCACACCCTGCCCAGTCCTTGTGCACTGATAAGTGGAGGGTGTTATTGGAGCCCAGTTACGGGCCTGCTGTCCACACACACAGGAAGCCCTGCGGTCCCTGCCTTCCCCAGGCTGGATCCAGGGAGGGACCCCACACCTTCAGGGCTGCCAGGTGTCACGTGTCTGTGGAGCCCCTCTGTGGGGTCCCAGTGGACTCTTAGAACCCAGTGAGGAGGGCTGGGTCCTAGACAGAAGGTCCAGAAGCAGCCCTACCCTGATTCCAGCCCTTTCCTCCAGGGGCCTCTTGAAAGTGGGTGAGACCCCACGTCCCTCAGCTCCGCACTGCTGGCGCGGCGGGGGCAGTCCTTCCCTCTCGGTCTTCCTTCTCACAATCGGCTGCCTTGTGGGGGCCCAGGATCCCAGCTGTCTAGAGCAGAAGGAACCCAGGGCCACCTCGTCTGGCTGGCCCTCCACCCCATGTCACAGCGGGGCTCTGGGAAGTGGTTGCCTAAGATGACACAGTGGCAGCAGTCCTGGTAGCTCTGGTTCCCAGGCTGCCGTGCCCATTGTTCAGAGCCTGGGGCCTCTCCAGAGGAGGAAGCGCTGGGCTGGTGAGCACAGGGCCGGCCCCTGGCCAGGCCCATGCTGCAGAGCCAGGTGGCGCGCTGCAGCGCAGGTCCACGGTGGGCAGCTGATAAGAAGGCCAGGCTTAACTCTGTCTCCAGGCCTGTGCTGCCTGCGATAAAGACCTCCTGCTCAGCCCCACCTAAGGGGCCCAGCCATGCCTGAGGGTGGGGCAGGGCGGGGGCAGATGGGGCAGGGGAGGCTGCCGCAGCCAGTGTGGGCTCCAGAGCTCCCTCCCAGGGCACAGCACCAGAGCCGTGATGGGCATCCTCATGGGCATGGTGCCTGCACCCCAGAGAGGCTCCACCCCCACCCACTCACTCCTCTTTGGTCTGTAGCCTGCAGACCGTGGCAGGGGACGCAGCCCGGACTGCAGGCTCACCAGAGCTGCTGTCCCTGGTCACAGGACCCTCGTTGGGCACCGCCCAGGCAAGAACCATGCAGAGTGCTTCCTACCACCACCTCTAATCCTCACGACACCCTCACCCCTCCACGAAAGCTGTTATTCTGGTTTTAGAGATGAGGAAACCAGCACTGAGCAAACAAGTCACTTCCCCCAGGTCAGGCTGCTTCTATGCAGCAGAGCCGAGCCCCTGCGGCCCCTGGCCATCCCACGGTGCCTCTGTGGGCAGTTACTACATTTTATGTCAGTGCTCTGCAGCCAGCCTGCCTGGTCTCCCTCCCGTGAAGCAAGTGAGCAGCCCTATCTCATGGCTGCTGTGAGGACCCGATGGGCAGAAAAGGGTGCATGTGAAGACCCGGCACCAGCACTGGCATGTGGCAGGTGCTTACTCAGCACGGTGATGATCACTAGAACATAGTCGAAGGGAGGCCTGAGCCAGGACACGGTGCTGTCCTGGTGCTGGGAGATGCCAGCGTGACAGATGCCTGTCCCTGTCCTTGCGAGGGGCTCTGCTGTGGCTGGACAGAAAGGTGCTGAGTGTTACTTCATTAGGAGGTTTGTGTAACTGTTTTATAGAAAATCTCGGGCCAGCAGGTGGCATGGTGGTTAGGGTGTTGGACTCCCACATGATTGACCGTGGTTTGAGTCCCAGACCTAGCAGTTGCTTTCTCACTTTCCCTCTCTCTCTTACTCTCTGTCTGTCTCTGATGACCATAGGAAGTTAGTAAATAATAATAACCAAAAAAAATCCTTAAAAAAATAGAGAGAGAAAAAAATCTACTAATGAGAACTGGCCCTGTGGTCTAGTGGTTAAGGGAGCCAGATCTTATGTAGCTGATTGCGATTCTAATGCCAGCCCCCCAACTTGAAAAACACACTAGGTATGTTGCGAGTGTGCCCCGAATCCCAACAGGATGGAAACATGGAGATGGGGCGGTGGTGTGACCATGCCTCATGGCTAGAGGGGTGCTTCCTCCTCCTTCCCTCTCCCTCTGTCTCTCTGGCAAGCGCATGCATACTCTGGCAGTTAAAAAAGCACATGAAGGTCCACCAGGGCTGGCCTCTGTGCCCAAAGAGACTGGGGCATGGGCTGAGGTTCTGGGGCTGTGAGGTGCCCACCCAACAACTGCTCTGCCCGCTGTCGAGAAAGCAGCTCGTTTCCATCTCGCGGCCAGCCAGTGTCTGAGGCTGGAGGAGTTGGGAGCCATGGTGGTTCTGCACTGGACTGCAGCAGCTGCTCAGAACCGCCGTCCTGCCTTTGTCTGTCGCCTCTCCCAGTGCCCCTGGCTCTTGTCTGTTCATGTCTGTCTTTGCCTCACCTCTTCTCCCCTTTCCACTCTCACCTCTCTCCCCCTTGTCCTTCCTCTTCCTCTTTTCACTTTTTTTTTTTTAATCAGACTCTTTCATGCGGTCTCTGTTCCCCCTCCTCTGCCCTCACCTTTCCCGGACTACGGCTTCCAGGAATAGAGTCAACTGTCTGACAGCTTTCAAGTAATAACTCAAACTGTGTTTCTTGGAAGCCCTGAGTCTGGTTTGGAAACACAGACCTCGCAGCCAGGCTAAAGGCAGGGCCTACATAGGACACCTTTGTCTGCCTCAGTCCGGGGCTTCCACCTCCCAGCCAGGGACCCACCTTCCCAGCTGCTCTCTGGCTAGCACGGTGTGGCTGCTGAAATCAGAAACTCCCAAACTGGAAGGGGCCCCACTAAATGTCTCCCCATCTCCTTTATTTATCAGAAGAAAACCAAGGCAGTGGGGGGAGGCTAGGGGGAGCCAGTTCCCCTGGATCACAGCTTATCCTGCCTTTGCAGCCCTGCGTCTGTCCCCCGGCCACTGTGGGAGGACCACCGGGTCTGAGTCCAGGCCCGCATACAGGTGGGCACTCTCTCTCTCCCTGGAGGCCCAGTAACAGCTCCAGGGGGAAGATCATAGCGACGGCGACAATGACAGACAGTCCAGGTGCCAGCTGTGTGCCAGGCTTGGGGTTAGCGCCATTGCCCGTATTAGTTCATTTAATCCTCAGACGACTTATGAGGAAGGTGCAATTAGCTTTGGGGATATGACCCTGGACAGTCCCCTGGTCTGCGAGCACAGGGTTTGCTGGAGGGTCCTCCTGCTCTGACCGCCTGGATTCCTTGACTCAGTGACCAGGGAGGAGGATTCCTGGTTTGGGGACAAGTCCCAAGGTGGAGAGGACCCAGGTAAGGCTTGTTCTGTGACCCATCAGGACCCCTTGCTGAACCTGATCACACAGAACCTAATCTGTCCCCCTAGCAGAGGACAGGCAGGAAGTCACCAAATGAGGGTGGACAGGGCCCTTATTTCCTAGATACCTGCCCTTTCGCCACTGACAAAAGTGGAAAGCCACTGTCTTGCCTGCCTGTTCCTGGCCGGGCAGTGTGTACTGTGGGGAGAGCACAGGCCAGGGGACCTGCGGCAGAG